CTTTTTTTCAACAAAATGCAACCATCTTTGAATTAAATCAAAGTAGTTGGCTGCCATCTAGAAGATTAGCCGCCCATGATGACTTTTAACATTTCAGTGCTATGTTTATGACACAGTGATGGTCGTTCGGAGACTTCGTTGACGAGGAAGATCTCGATTTATTGCAGAATCTTTCCCAGAACTTCATTACCACGTTGTTATTTCATTTCTTCATGTCCATGTGTCATAACCATTTTTAGGTGAAATAATTAAATATTATTTTAAAAATATTTATGACTTTTATTTAGGAAAATTTGGTGATTTTGGATTAAATTTGATAGAATCGCCATTGACCTTTGGGTTACGTAGGTCGAATACCTAAAAACATCTTTTTAAAACAATTTTAAGAAAAATCGTTTTTTAAGACAAAAAACTGGTATGCGTTTACAACAATGTTTTTAAAACTGGACCGGACATTGAACCGGTGAAGGTACTGGTTCACAGGTTCAATCGGGTTTAACCGCGGTTGAACCGGATTTTATAAAATATTTTTTTTTTAATTTTACATAATATTCAAAGCAATATTAATATATATGTAACACTTTTTTTAAGTTTACAATATTAAAAGGTATAAAAAATATCACAAGTCATAACATATATAAATTAAAAACCATAAAATCAAGTAAAACAAAATGATTTAAATCAACTACAAGATAATATTTAAGGTAAAACATATTAAATAATAAATATAATTATATAACTATAATATAAAAAATTGGGGCTTAAAAAATCATAATAAATGATGTCATTTGGTTTAATTTTTTTTTAAAAAAAAAATCCCACATGGCTAAGAAACATAGAAGGGCATCCAAAAGTTTAAAAAGTAAAAATATGATAACAAAACAATCACATATGGCTAAGAAACATAGAAGAGCATCCAAACTTATTTATACAAATAATAGAAGTAATTTGACATTCAAAATCATTGAGCATTTTTTGAGCACGGAGCGAACTATTCTTTCGCTTCAATTGGACTCAAATTTTAGGCTTCAATTGAACTTCTATTTTTTTTGAGTTTGAGCCTTTTCGAGTTCAAGTTTTAATATTATATTTCGAGTTCGAGTTGAACTTGATAATTTTTAGCTCCTGAGTTTTTGAGTTGAGTTGAGCTTACTTTTAAAATTTTCGAGTTCTAGTCAAGCTCAGCAATACTCGAATTTAACTCGGCTCGTTGAACAAACGACATCGTTTGGTTTAATTTTTTTTAAAATAAAAAAAGTGAATCGGCGGTTTAAACCGGTTTTGTCGGTTTTCAGCTGGTTCACCCCGATTTTACCAGTTTTCAGCCGGTTCATTGTCATACATGTTTTGTGAGGTAAGTGGACCGGACATGCCACTGGTTCACGGTTCAACCGATTGAATCGGCCGGTCCGGTCCAGTTTTGATAACCATGGTTTACAAAGAATCAATTAAAACGAGTTCGAGAGTCGATTATACATGAAGACAGATTAACACTCTCACAACACTCAAAATTAAAATTAATACTGTGTCGCTTGCACGTTGTCATAAATGGTGGAAATCAAGATTCACCCATAACAACCAAAATGGCTAAAAGGAAAAGCAATCAAATTAAGTTTGACTCAATATGATAAGGCAGTCCGCTTTTATAACCTGATTCCCTACACTGGACACTGAAGTAGTCCCCTACTCCATGGCATCAATCATATTCATCATAATCGGAGGGGATGTACCAGGTATCAAGATCCTCTTTTCTTCAAGTTCCCCACCAGACGAACACTGAAACATTGTCGCAAGTCGAGATATTCAAGGTGAGGACAACCGTCAAGAATGGCCTGCAAGCCTTCATTCGTCAACCCATTCCCCAAAAGTTGGAGGTGGCGTAATTCAGGCATAGTTTGTGCAACAGCTAGTGCCTCATTGTCACAGACATAGCTTTTGCATCGCTGAAGATTGTATTTGAATGATTTCAAGGGAGGGCAACTACGACCAATAGTTTCCATATCATGTTCAAAATGGGACCTATGAAAATTTCAAGCTCTTCCAGACACGGAAGCTTCAAAGCTGCTTCGCTTAATCCTTCATCTTCGAAAGACGAAGAGTTTCCGACGACCTTTTGGACTTTCCGATGGTCTTCCGATCAAGGTATGGTTTCTCCTCTTCTTATTTTTTCTCCTTTCTTTTTCTCCTCGAAATGCTTCTCCTTTTTTCCCCTCCACCGATTATTGCATGTAATTTTATGGGTTCATTTTTTGTGGATAATGTTGAGATATGGGCATAGTGGAGTAAGTTGGATTATTTTAATGTTATGATGGTAGGTAGTGATAGATAGTGGGTAGTGGTAGGTTGGATTAGGTTATGATAGTGGGTAGTGGTAGGTTGGATTAAGTTATGATAGTGAATAGTGTGGATTGTGGGTAGGTTTGATTATTTTAATGTTATAATAGTGGGTCGTGATAGATAATAATTAATAATAATAATTAATAATTTTTTAAACTCTGACAAAAGCGAGTGTCTACACCATAATTCTTAGTGGATAACATTAAAACGAAAATAAATCGAATCAAACTTGAATTGAACGTACGATAAACCAACAACAATAACAAAAAAAACTCGACGAATAATGAGGGAAAAAGAAAGACAAAACGGAAACCTCTTGCGTTGGGGATTAATTGTTGTTATTCAGCACATGGAGAGCAGATCACATTGTAAATTAGTGGGGAGTTTTAACATGTGTATGTATATATATATTGTAGGGTAAATTACACTTTTAGTATCTAAACGATTAATTTTGATCCGTTTTAGTATCTAAATTTTTATTTTTTTCAAAATATACCTAAAATTAATTATTTATTTCATTTTAGTACCCCGTCTAAAATTTAATATTAATTTTTGGAAAAATTAAATTTTAGGTACTAAAATGGGCAAAATCTGATAGTTTAAGTACTAAACTCATTAAATTTTTAACGATAGATATTGAAATGAAATGAAAATTAAACGTTAAATATGATTTTAAAAAAATTTAAAATTTAATTACTAAAACGGATCAAAACTAATAGTTTAAGTAGTACATTTTACTATATGTTGTTGTCCTTTTGGGCAGAATCTGAAGAAAAGTTAAGAGTGAGGGACAAGAGGCTAATTTATTATGGTGACGAAAGATTCACAACACGTTGTAGAACTAACCATGTAATCCAGATTCCATCTTATTTATTCAACGCGTGTATAGATTCAATTGAAAACCATAGCACCTCTCTTCTCTTTACTTTTTTCTTCAGAATTTCTGCCGTTTTCTATATATCAAATTAATTTTTCTTTTTTTATTTTGTTTAGCCCAAGAACGGTATCAATTTTAATACTAGTAGTGGACCGTCAGTTTTTTTAGTTTTAATAAGAATAATTCTGTTTTTCTGATGCGTTTTTTGTTTTATTTCTCGGTAGTTTGGTTGTTGTTTCTATTTTTTATTTTTTTATGATTAAATTTGATTATGTCACTACTGATTAAAATTATGCTTATTTGATATTCTACCGAGCTACCCTACTTTGGATCATGAGATTAAATTTGGATATATGATTTCACGTTCGTGGATAGTTTCTCACTACGTTTAACTCTGATTTGCAATTTTTGATGTTCTTTCAATAGCTTGATCTTTTTTTGTGATTCATTGGCCGATACGGTCAAATTTATTTGCATCTATTTTTTGTTAGAGTTTTTTTGTTGTTGAGTTTTTAACATTTTTCATGTATGTCCTTATATAATATGAAGTGACTAGTTTTAATGTTATAGAAAATGTATAAATTATGTATTTATTTATATTGATAGTTGTAAACTCTTATCGTAATTTTAAATATTTCTAATTTTTAATAAGACTAGTTGCTTCCATTTTAAAAAATTAAAAAAAAACATTACTATATTTGTTTATATGAGTATGAGTGAACGGAATATATAATTTAGGGGGTGATTAGGTGTGAGTTCAGTTGAGTAGGATTTTTGAGTTATCTAAATTTGATTTAAAATTAAATTATTTTATTCGTATTCAATTAAGTCTAAGTTTAATAGAGTCGCATATGACCTGAAACTCGACTTAATATTTTAGGTTAAAACTCACATCCTATCTGATTTGACTCGACTTATATATATATTCTAATTGAAAAAAATAATATGAAAAGTAGATTACTATAATTATCCCTAAATATAATAGATATAATTATAATATTATATTGAGTCGGCTGTGTTTTTTATCACAAACTCAAACTTGACGTGATCCAACTTCACTTTTTTTTTTTTAAAATATCCAACCTAAGCCAACATAAACTTAAATTTTTAAAATTAAAAAATTGATATGACTAGATTGAGTTGAATCAAAATCTGTGAAACCTAGATGAAATTCTCACATTAAATAATTACTCTTACTTGTTTAATTCGAATATTATATATTAAATAAAAATGTCTTTATTTTTTATAGAATAACAGATATAAAAATATCTTTATAATAATAAAAATTAATAATTATAATTACAGTATTCTTAATCATTTGAATGAGTTGTAAACTTGTTCTATATGTTGTTTGGTAAAGTCTTCTAAAACCAAAGGAAATGACTTATCCATATTAAAGAGTTGGAAAGAAATGGATTACAAAATTTCAAATAAAATTTTGGGTAGGTTAATGTTTAGTACTTAAATTATTAGTTTTAATCCGATTTAGTATCTAAACTTTCAATTTTCAAAATTATGTCTAACATTTAATTTTTATTTCATTTTAGTACTTGTTAAAAATTTAATATTAAGTTTAAAAAATAAAAATTTAAATATTAAAACAACCAAAACTAAACTGAAATATTTTACCCTTAGATTAAAATATTTCACTGAATCGTTAAGAAATGTGTGTAATTTACCCTTAGATTTGATTTGAAATAAAAAAGTAGTAATAAGCATTAAATAATATAATTATATCTTCATGGTCTCGTTTTGTCGGAATACTTTAAGAAAATGAATAATTAGAGCTGCATTGAAATGCATTAGAGATGCAATCTTAGTTCTTTTATCATAATTATTGAAGATGGGATGAATTGCAGTTAGGTTCAGAGACTGAATTGAAAAACTTAGACCGTCAGGAAGCCATGGGGTCGGCGTGAAACGGAAATTCGACAACCCTTTTGCCTGACTCCAGAAGCTCAAACGCCGACGCCGTCTTTATTTATTTTGGCCGGTAAGCCATGGACGTTCGTGTGAAGCAAGAGATCATGGAAACTTTAGCTGCTGAAAGAGGGAAACTTGTACGGGAACAAATTTGCTCGGTTATCGAGCTCAGCAGCAGTAGCAGCGATTCGGACTCGAGCGGTTCGGACGACCTGGACGATAGCGAGGTCGGTGTCGTTTCTACCGGGGAAGGACTTGAAGGTAGTGCTTCGAAGAAGCGGAAGGTGAATGATGTTGATTTTGTGCTGCCGCTGGGGTTTTTGGCTCCTTTACCGTCGGTTGATCCGGATCCTATTCCGTTGTCCTCTAATATGGCGGTCCCGGAGGTTTCCGCGACGGAGAACCCGGTGGAACAGGCGGCAAGTAGTTGTGTGAGTTCAAGTGTGCTTTGCAAGCAGTTCTGGAAGGCCGGGGATTATGATGGGAGTCCATCTGCCGCTTGGGAGTTATCTACAGGTATTACTGTAAATTATAATGCTATATTGTAGTAAATAATTTAGTCATATATCTTGCTTGCAAGTTGACAATGTTAATTTCGTTCCTAATTTGGGACCTAGAGAAACAGAAGTAATTTTGAGTCTTTTTTTAGTGTATACAAATGCATGTTACCATCGGAAGATTAGAATCTGAGTTATGAGCGAAGTTGAAGGCAGTGGAGTGTCTGCATTGCTTGAAAATTTGCTTACCTCTCTATACCCTTAACTCTGTTTTTGCATTGCTAAATTTCTTGGGAAATTCAAGTTACCAATTTAATCATGCGGAGTCTAAACTGTTAATTGTACGGGATTTTTTTCTTTATTTGTTGATTTTGTTCAATGCTTGTGCCCTTGATTTCATTTGACTTGTAGGTGGCATGGATCATGTCAGGGTTCATCCAAAATTTCTACATTCCAATGCAACGAGTCATAAATGGGCCCTTGGAGGTAGTCTGACATATTTTTACAACTTTGCTATGCCTGTTAGCTGTTCTTCTCTTGTTAACATTTCCTTGCTCTTATGGCCTTTGTGGCTAAGTTTATTATTTTACTTCTACAGCTTTTGCGGAACTTCTAGACAACTCTTTGGACGAGGTACTTGATGCTATTGTGTAATATTTGTTTTCATTTTCCTAGTTTTGCAAGTATCTTCATTTATTGATTTCAGGCTTGCAATGGAGCTACATATGTTAACATAGATGTGCTCAAAAGTAAGAAGGATGGGAATAGAATGTTGTTAATTGAAGGTATTTCACTATGTCTAACATGCACTTTATGTTTCTAATGATTATTCCGCATTTTGAGTTGCTTATTTCTACATGTATGAAGGTGCTACTTGAAATAGTTATTTTCAGGGAGTATTTAGTTTCTTCACCCTTTTAATGCTGTTTTATGGCAAAAGTATCACATTTTTTCTCTGGTCCTGAAAGAAACAAGATTTTCATTTCTGTGTTGATAACATGAAAAATTTTGGATTTTTTCGCATGTCGTTGCAGATAACGGTGGTGGGATGGATCCCGATAAAATGCGTCACTGCATGTCCCTTGGATATTCTGCAAAAAGCAAAGTGGCAGACACCATTGGACAATGTATTTATGAATATCTATTATCTGGAAAAGAGTTGCTTTATACTGCTTATTTGTTTTCTTCTGAAGCTGTTTTAATTCTTGTATTCCTTTTCTACAGATGGCAACGGATTCAAGACTAGTACCATGAGGCTTGGTGCAGATGTAATTGTATTTTCTCGGTGTTGTGGAAAAGATGGAAAGCGGTTAGTCTTTGATAATATTTTTGGTCCAGTATAATATTTGTTGATTCATTTGTTTATGATGGGTTTCGTGTATGTTTATTTTCATTGAATTATTGGTAAAAAACTTTTCTTCTGTCTGTATGTTGATTAAGTAGTAACTGTGTATTTTGTTTACTTGAGTGTAACAAAGTGGTTAGATTTGGTTCATCATTGTTTACTTAGTCCAAGGTTCTAGCGGTTAATGTTGGTAGATTGGGTCCTTTTAGAGGGTAAATAAGTATTGTTCATTGACTTTTTTTTTTATAAAGAAAAGGGCCTTGTTAAAATCCCCCTTCATAATCGTCAAGCTACAAAGGTATCTCAACGGACATAGGAAGGAGGAAAAGAGTGCCCAAAATTTTATTACTAAAACATAGAGTACATCCAGGGTAAAACCATTTTAAGTACAAACCATCCCCACAAAACACCCAAAACGCTCAACCACCACACCCAACCATAGCACCCCACATTACCCTACGCCTGACTTAGCTAAACTATATGCTTCCCAATTAAAACATCTCTTAATATGCCTAATAGTCACATTATAATCCATCACGCGCTTTGGCAATTTTCATAACCAGATGAACAAAGGCACCAGGACTTGCTTCTGGATTTTTAATCCACTTCAAAGCAATAGAAGAATCACTTTCTAAAATAAGACGCCCCTTATCACTCCACTCCGAATCTAGGAAGAGACTTAGCTTGAATTGCTTTTAGTTCAGCAAGAATCGGAGGGCCTGGTCCGGACGCTACCGAGAAATACCCCAACTGCTTATAATCATTATCCTTAAGTAGTCCACCGATACCACTGCACCTCCAGTTACAACTTACAGTCCCATCCACACTCACTTTAAAAAAAATCCCGGAGGAGGGGGGCACCGATATGACGTGGGGGAAACTTTCTTCGTAGGAGTAAAGTTCAAATCAGCCAAAGTTAAGTCTCCCACAAGACAATCTAGGAGAATAGGGAAATTTGAGTTCTTTGCCGAGAACTTGGCAGCCACCGTATATCTAGCCAAAAAGAATAGAAGAGTTTGATCCAACCTTCCATTCTCGAACACCATTTGATTTTGACATTTCATACAATCCACATTACAGCACCCGGGACGAATTTCGAAATGTCTGACTCTGGTAATAAATCAAACCATGAATACATAAACGCCTTGAGATTATTAGGCAGAACTGTATATATTCCACAAATAGAAGAATCACTTTCTAAAATAGACGCCCTTATCACTCCACTCCGAATCTAGGAAGAGACTTAGCTTGAATTGCTTTTAGTTCAGCAAGATCGGAGGGCCTGGTCCGGACGCTACCGAGAAATACCCCAACTGCTTATAATCATTATCCTTAAGTAGTCCACCGATACCACTGCACCTCCAGTTACAACTTACAGTCCCATCCACACTCACTTTAAAAAAAACCCGGAGGAGGGGGGCACCGATATGACGTGGGGGAAACTTTCTTCGTAGGAGTAAAGTTCAAATCAGCCAAAGTTAAGTCTCCCACAAGACAATCTAGGAGAATAGGGAAATTTGAGTTCTTTGCCGAGAACTTGGCAGCCACCGTATATCTAGCCAAAAAGAATAGAAGAGTTTGATCCAACCTTCCATTCTCGAACACCATTTGATTTTGACATTTCATACAATCCACATTACAGCACCCGGGACGAATTTCGAAATGTCTGACTCTGGTAATAAATCAAACCATGAATACATAAACGCCTTGAGATTATTAGGCAGAACTGTATATATATTCCACAACCGTAGAAACCGCACCCAAACCCCCCAAGCTATTTTGCACGAGAAGAACAAATGAAAAACCGACTCGGGCTCTAACCCACATAGCGGGCAAAGAGGATCCTTGATCCCATGAACACCCCTACTTATTAGAGCAGTTTTAACAGCCAACTTTTGGTGAAAAAACTGCCATAGAAAAGCCTCCACTTTTGGAGGTGTTATTTCAACCCAAACAAGCTTCGACCAAGACAAATCCGGAACGGACAGGCTTGATACTAAATTAATGCATGATTTAACCGAATATACACCCTCCTTGTTCCTTTTCCAAACACAACAATCATCAACCACCGATCTAAGACTAACACTATCCAACATTGACAATAACTCGATCCATTGTTCAACTTCCCAATCCAGCATATTTCGCCTCATTTGTATATCCCAAAACCATCTCCCACTGTTTAGACAACCATAATCCGCAATGACCCCATCCTTATTTACTGACAGGGCGAAAAGCCTAGGGAATTTTATCTTCAAAGGAATGATGCATAGCCATCTATCATGCCAAAAAAAATGGAATTTCCCTTTCCCACCTGTAGAATAAAATGATTGCGGAAGCAAAGGCCAAAAGTATCATTCGACCAATAGTTATTTATTACTCCTTTCCAAAGCCAAGAAGAAATGGAAGGCAGATTCTTATCCAACAAAATCGACCTTCTATCTAAATTGTACTTAAAGCACACCATCCGCTTACACCAAGACTCATTTTCGCTACTAAACTTGCAGACCCATTTCCTTAATAGAGCCCTATTCATCAGATTTAAATATGTGATACCCAAACCCCCATAATCTTTTTTGGGCCGAGCTCCCCCACTAAAAATTAGCCATTAGTGAATCCAACTTTTTTCGATCCACAGAAGGCATTCTGAGCAAAGACATAGTAAATCAGCATCGCAGTTAGGACAGACTTTACTAAAACAGCCCTCCCCGCAAGTGATAGCGTCGCTGTGTTCGACCCAGCCAGCTTCTGATAAAATTTCTTAAAAATTGGCTCCCATAAAGCTACCGAGTTTCGCCTGGCACCAAGGGGAAGCCCAAGCTACTCCTATCAGAAAACACCAAACATACACCCGATTGAATTTACCCGTTCTTTGGCAGTTGATTCTTCCATATTAATACCAAATATCTTACTCTTCGAAAGATTTAATTGCAGCCCTGTACACATCTCAAAGACGACCAAAATTCTCTTAATATTCTTCAATTAACCTTCTGAAGCGCTACAAAATGTTATCAAATCATCAGCGAATTGCAAATGAGAGAGCGAGAAAGACCTATTAGCACAACCGATCTGAAATCCTTTAAACAAGCCCAACTTTACTGTCGTGGACAGCAAAAGGTTTAGCAACTCTCCCACTAAATTAAATAACAGCTGTGATAATGAACAACCTTGGCGTAATCCCCGAGATATGTTGAAGCTTTCTGTAGGAGAACCATTTACTAATACCGAAATAAAAGTTGTGGATAAGCACTTAAAAATCCACGACCGCCATCTCTGCCCGAACCCCATATACTCCATAGTTTTGATCAAGATCGCACAATCAACTGAATCATAAGCTCTTCTGAAATCTACTTTAAACACAATACCTTTCCTCCCTTTCCTCCTCCAGTAATCGATGCCTTCATTTGCTATAAAGGAGCAATCGCAAATCTGTCTCCCTGGAACAAACGCAAACTACGAAGGGCCAATCAACGAATCTATGCACGCCCTTAGTTTTTTTGATAACACTTTCGACAAAATCTTATACAATCCTCCCACCAAGCTTATGGGCCCATACTCCTCTAATCCCACCGGATTCGACTTCTTCGAAATCAGCGTGATAAAGGAATGGTTCACACCTTTTCCTACCTTTTTCCGGAGTAAACCATTGAAAAATTTCAAAATGTCCTCCTTTAAGAACGGCCAGAATCTTTTAAAGAATCCCATGTTCAATGACTTTTTCAAATTTGAACATTTTGCTTGTTGATACTTGGTCTGGCTGATAACCTTCAACCTAAGTTCACCCTCTCCTTATTGGTTCCCGATGCATTGGTGTAGTAGTGGCAATAATTTCTAAATCTGTGTAACCATGTTTTATGCTTTATTTTTGTTTTTGACTAGCAAAACTATTCTACTTCCTCTCTGAACTCCACTTATTATTTATGTTTTGTTGCTACAACAAGTAGTCATATCATCTGGTGTGTTTCTAGCCCCACGCAGAGCATTGGATTGCTATCCTACACTTTTTTGACAAGCACAGGAAAGGAAGACATTGTGGTACCCATGGTAATGTCAACTAGAAACTTCACATTGTCTGTACAATGAATATAGTGGTAGTAACTGTCATTGCATTTGGAATGGGGGCCTGTAACACAAAAGATAATCATTATACCTTTAATAGCCAAGTGGATATATGTTCAATGCAATGGACCTAGATTTATTTATTCAGCGCAACTTATGTTTTTTTTAAACATGCAAGCCTGAGAAAATTGTCCTAAGTGAAATAAATCACTAGTTCATTAGTCCCTGCTATTTCATTAGCCTGATATTTCCTCAATCATCCCATTTATCACTTCATAGGTTGTTAAACTAAGTTTTGTCCTATGAATGGCTTGCATAAAACTAGAGGTAAATCTCTCACTTAAGCCAAGTATTTTTGTTGATTATTTGTCTATAGAAGCCATGCTAGGAATCATCAGTTTCTTCAGGATAGGGAAAAGAATAAAAGAGAAAGTTGAGGGATCAAGTTTGGATCATGTGTTATGTTGCTTAGGATTTTATGTGCTTATTGTTGGTAAGCTACTGCAGAAACTATGCTCTAGTTGTTCCCTTTAATCATTATGGATGTTGAAATGAACAGCTAGATTATGAATGGCAACAAAATGAATGGAATAAGTTGATGCGATCTACTGTCGGTGATTGGAATAGGAATGTGGAAACTATAGTGCAGTGGTCTCCATTTTCAAGTGAAGCAGACCTCTTTCGTCAGGTAATTCTGGTTCTCATTTCACAATTTCTAGTGTTGGTCTAAAATTTTGTTTTTTGAGTTAAAATCATTTTGATTGTGGATGGGGTGTCTGGGATAGTAGTTTCATACTCCGACCTATATTCTTTGCTTTGCACGGTTTTCAGTGTATTCCCTTGGTGTTATCATCTTTAGTCCATTATTTTTCCATTATCACTTTATCAGTTTTGTAACTGGTACTTGTCTGTTGAGCTTTTCGTGCTTTTCTATTATGATTGTGGTAAATTGTTCCCTTTTCCCCCTTCTAGCTCAATCTGATGAAAGACCATGGCACACGAATTATTATATATAATCTCTGGGAGGATGACCAGGGGCTCTTGGAGCTTGATTTTCATACCGATCAACGTGTATGTCTCGAACTTTCTCTTTACAATTAAAATCTAAATACAAACAGAATAGAATGCATTTGTGATTTTGAAATTATGGGGTGAATTATTCTTGGCAGGATATCCAACTCAGAGGTGTTAACCGTGATGAGAAAAATATACAAATGGCAAAAGAGTATCCCAACTCTAGACACTTTCTGACGTATAGACATTCATTGAGGGTAACTAACATCAATTTCCTCTTTTTCCATGGCAGAAAAATTATGATTTTTACCCTTGATAAAAAGCTCTGTGTTTTATTATGCCTTAGCTTGAGATATCACATTTATTTATTGGCATATGTTATTGATTTATATTTTTTGCCGTGTTCATTTGGCAGAGTTATGCATCGATGCTTTATTTGAGACTTCCGGTTAACTTCAGAATCATCTTATGTGGGAAAGACGTTGAGCATCACAACATAGTTAATGATATGATGCTCACCGAGATGATAACCTATCGACCAAATCCCAGTGCCGAGGGTGCCCCCAAGGATTTGAATGTAAGAATTGAATAGTATTATATTTATCTTCGATGTGCTTTGCTATATGCTTGTTTGATGCCTGGTTTTCTTGCACTTTTGTCATTAGCTGGCTGCTCTGGTGACCATTGGTTTTGTGAAAGATGCCAAATATCATATTGATGTTCAAGGTTTCAATGTCTATCACAAAAACAGACTCATCAAGGTTTGCTTTATATTTTCTTGTAGTACAATGTATCACATGGATTGCAAATTGGATTAATTTCACTTGTATTTTAATTGATGCATTTAATGACAGCGTGTTTTTGCACTTTGCATAACATGCTAGTCAAATTTACCATTCATATATTTTCCTTTTGACATTCTTGCCTAATGCCTCCTTTATAACCTATTTCTCCAGCCATTTTGGAGGGTCTGGAATCCTGCTGGAAGTGATGGGCGTGGGGTTTTTGGTATATTTCCGCTACTGAACACACCTATTTAGTTTCTTTGTTTATGTCCTATCGAGCTGGGCCCCCCCCCCACACACACACAGCCACCACACAAAACAAAAAATAAAATAGAAAAAGAAGGGTCTAATGTGCTTCCTTCTTATGACAGGTGTTTTGGAGGCTAATTTTATTGAGCCAGCTCATGATAAGCAGGGTTTTGAGCGTACAACGGTTCTTGCTAGACTTGAAACACGACTAAAAGATATGCAAAAAACTTACTGGTTTGTTGCCAACAATGTCAACTTTTCTTTCTACTGCTGCTTTGGATTCAAGCTGGTTTCTAATTGCTTTTGACTTCTTTATTTTAGGACCACCAATTGTCATAGAATTGGCTATGCTCCACGGCGGAATAAGAAAGGTTTAGAACAGTCTTTAGACAGAGGTATGCCATTACTCTCTCTCTCTCTCTCTATATATATATATATAGACATGCTTGTTGTTGACACTGAACTTTAAGTTACTCCCTGATTGATGTCTAGATTTTTTTATCCTGTAGATACCTTTCCTGATTATGATCTGCGACAATCTACTCTATCAAATAAGAAGAGTACATACAGCCGCAAGAGACTGTCTACAGACTCGGACAAGTTGTATTCACCCTCAAATTGGAACAAAAAGGGAAAAGGAAGTCGGGAATTTCCTGATGTAGTGAATGGTGGAAATGGACACGTGTTTAACAAGTGTGACAATATGAAAAAGGCAACAATAGATAACAGTACGAAGGTCACCGCAAAATCTGGAAAAGGAATAAGCTCTTTTAAATCATCATCTCCTTCTACACAAGATGTCAGCGATGGTGAGTGTGAGGTCTTGCCTGAGAAACAAGCTACTGGGAGCAGTCAAAAGTTTGTTACACGATCAAATTCTAAGGTTATTTTTGTGCTTTGGTTATCTTTAATCCATCTTCTCTTTTTCTGGTAGTTTTATCTGCATGCAGATGAGTTATTTTTGTGTTGTAGTTTTTTGTCTGCAAGAATGGTCTCTCTGTACCGTTTTATTCAAGTCTTCTCGATAATCACTTTTTCAACTGGCAGGAGCGTGGTCTGAATGATGACGAGCCTTCTCTTCCTGAATCCGATTTGCGTATTCTTGAGCAGTTGAAACAGGAAAATTCAGAATTAAAAGAAAGGTTTTTAGAACATATCTATTTTATCATTTATGGGGTTTCAATATTACCTGACCTTAATCTAAAAGATCATTATTACTTTTTGTAGATTAGAAAAATACGAGGGAGAACATCAACATCCATTGCTCAACGATTTGCAACAGGAAAGAAACCGGCGTCAATCACTCGAACTCGAGGTATGCCCCCTTCTCCAACTAGCTTAAGTAAAATGCAATAAATCGTTACACTTCTTTTTATTTGTTTATTTTGTATATCAGCTTTCAGAGGCACTGAAAAAAATCGAGCAACTGAACCTTGAACAAGAAAGTATCATTAGCATATTCACGGAGGAGAGAGATAAGAGAGACAAAGAGGAAGAGAAGCTGAGAGAAAAGCTAAAGGTGCTGTATTCCATCCACCCTCTTTCAACTGTTATTCATATCCAACGTAAAGTTTAAGGTTTCGTTCTCTTCCTGCACCTGTTTGATGCCGCTGATAAAACACGAATTTCGTTCATTTCATCTATTTTTACGAATTCGATATGCTCTGTTTCAAAAGGGACTTGAATGTTGAGAATGGTTTGCATTGTAGGAGGCATCCGGCACCATCCAAGAGTTGCTCGACAAAATTAAGATTCTGGAGACGATGAAATCCCCCGGCATCAAGCAAGTGCGTCGGCAGACACTGTAGCGTCATTTGTTGTCGCGATGGTACTTTCGCTTTATCAAGACAACCGGAAGTGATTCTTGAATTCTATAGAATCCAATGCCATTTCTTTTCTTAATGTTGTCCGGTGAGGGGCACCATTTTTATCACATTACTAACAAAGAAGTGAAGCCCGTGTGTACCATGTACAAACTTTGATAACGCTAGTGATAAACGGGATATGTTGAGTGGTGTGAATAAAAAAAGGTGCATTTGTCTTGCCCAATTGACAATGACATCATCTCATTTCTTGTTAGTGATTGGATCGGATTGGATTGAATCAGACTTTTGATTGATTTGACCTGATTCAAAAAATATATATCATTCATTCGAATCTAACCTGATTCGAATATTATATATATATCATCCACTTGACTTTAATTCTAGCCCAAAATTTAAGAGTATAAATCTGATCTGACCCAATCGAGTATAAAATAAGGACTTAGAAAAATAATAATTTTTTTAAATAGAATTACATTATCTTGGATCAGGTTGGAATTTTTTTCACCCTCCATTTAAAATCCAACCTGACTCGATCTCACTCCCTTAAAAAATTGACTTGACACGACACGAACTCAGCGTTTTGAAAAATTGATACTATTAAATCGGTTCAGATTGAAACCTGCTGATTTCGGGTTAAATTGTTATCCTTATTTCTTATTTTAAATTTTAAATCTCAAATTAATTAAGACCCCTAAACAAGGAAAAGCCATAGTGTCAAACCCCCATGCCCATTCACTTTTTTCCCAGTCCCTGCTTGTCCTCAGGGATAGGGCCTATTCCACCTGTCCATTATTGTCTTGCTCATCATCATCATAAATCACTTCGTTTAATGCCTACTATGATTTATATTATTTTTGTAAATAATGGTTTTATTTGTTTTTATAGATTTTTTAAATAGTATAATTGACTTTGACTCTTTAGATTCATATGTCATTTATTTGGTTATTCAACTTATCTATTTTGCTCCAGATTTTCATATTAGATATCGATAGACATTTGTAATCATCGAAGGTAACTGTCGATTGAATTGAGTTGCGATAATGTCATTTTATCAACGAGTAATCATAATATTTCCTCCTTGTCCTTTACAATGGGTAATAATATTTATTCATTTATTCGATTGTTTGATTCAATTTTTAATATTTTATTGAATGATCAATTTTATTATTAAATTATTAATATGTTCACTTCGATGATTTTTGAAAACTTTTTAATTTATTGATTATTTATTTTTATAGATTATTCATGTAATGTTTATATTCCCTCTTTATTTAATAAAATAAGCTGTTACTATTAATAAAAAATTCTCTTCTCATTCTTATTTTGAAGTAATTATATTAAATCAAACGTCTTTAGGAGGTTTAATTGATTTTTTTTATAGAAATAACTAATTTTATTCAAAATAGCAAATATCTCAAATTAAAATAAAGATTTATAATCACAATCGTAAATTAAGTACATAATTAGGAAGATTTCTTATAATCATTAAAATAAAACTAGCAATTTAAGACCACATAAAGATCATACAAGGAAAGATTAAATCTAACCAAGAAACTCGAATAAAGATACATACAAACAGATCATATCACATCAACAAACGAACCACAAAAGGGGATCAAACTATTGAAAGACCATTGACGAACAATAAATCAGACTCGAGCGACGTGAAAAGCTATTCACAAACGCAAATCGAGTATCCAAATCCAATCAGAGGGTCCAAAGCAGGGAAGATCAACAAGATATGAAATAATCGTCATATTAATCAGTCACAATGATATCAAATCAACCCTAAAAAATAAATAAATAAAAACGACTAAACAACCAATTCACATGCCAAAAATCTAGTAATAAGAAGAATTGTGGAGTGGAAATTCACTTTAATACATATGCCCTTTAGAAGTTTCAATTATCACATGCCCAATTGCTTGTTTTGACCTATTTATTTCCGTTGTGTATCACCTAACATCACCCATTCATCCCTTTTGCACATTACACTGTTTCTTTTTGACAACATCCTTACTCCTTTTGCTATTTTGATAATCACTTTAAGCTGTTTCTATAAACAATTCCATTAGAGGTGGGCATAATATGTATGTATTGCTCATCCTTGCTTGCACGTCTGTGATTAATAAAAAAGGCAAAGAATACAAATGGTCCCCTGATTATAGGGCGTTGTTCTGTTGAGTCCTTTAACTATTAAAAGTTATGAAATTGTCCCTTGACTATTTGGCATTGCTTTGTTGACTCAATCAACTATTAGAAGTTATAAAATGGACATCCGACTATTCATATGTTCCAAACTCATCCTTTTTTGTTAAAAAATTTACGGCGGACTCATCTGGATGTTAACCTATTGACTTTGATGTGATAAAAACTGATCACAAAATTTCAAACAACTATCATATCTCAATCAATAGGTTAGCTTCTAGCTCAGATTGTAATCATTTTTTTAACGAAAAAAGAATAGTTTGAATATATGAATAGTCCGATAACCCTTTTATAACTTTTAATAGTTGAGGGATTAAACAAAGCAACGCCTTATAGTCAACGGGTATTTTGTAACATTTAATAGTTAAGAGACTCAACAAAACAATACTCTATAGTCGAGAGACCATTTGTATACTTTACCCTATAATATAATCTTCAAACTGAAACTTAAGATTTAAAAAATACAAACAAAATTTTTTTAAATTATGGTAATTGTAGGTGCATTTGATTTCAGAAAATAAGGATTTTTTTTTGGGTGAATAATAGATACTATCAAAGGCCTCGTTAGAAATCGCTTAAATGAGGAAAAAGAGTATTTTTGATAGCATAACAAAACACAGTAGAAAATAACCTCAACATATAACATCTGGTGCATCACTTGAGAAGGCTGGAGGTGCGTGACAATATCCAAATTGTCAAAATAAGAGTTATTTTCAAAAATAACAAATAATAAAAAGGGCATGTTTAGTTGAGAAATTATTTTTCTAAAGTAAAAATAGGTGAAAATAAAATATGTATGTTTATTATTTTCCCTAAAATGATTTTATAGATTTGATAGTAAAATAGAATTTTTATTTTTAAATTTAATTAAGTAAACTTTATAAAGTATTAACTCAATTGACATAAATATTATTATAACATTTGGAAAAACGTAAGTTTAGCACGAATCAAACTATCTCAGTGGTTAAAGGCATGTTTATTATTCCTATATGTTTCAGGTTCGAGCACCAGCAACCGTAGCAGGATGATGGAGCATTAATTGTCAAATAATTACGAGTATTTAGAATAGATGCTACTACTTTGTAATCACTTTATACATAAAAAAAAGACATAACTTTAAGTACACTTAAGTATGTACGAACCAAACTATCTCGGTGATTAAAAGAATATTTGTTATTTTTAGATGTTCCAGGTTTCGAGCACCAGTGACTGTACTAAGGGTGATAGAGCATTCATTTTCAAACGGTTGACAGTATTTAGAACATATACTACTTTATAATCATATTAGCTTATTATATTATATTTTTTCTAATTTTTCTTTGGTCCTTTTATAAATATGTTCTTTGATTTTTGTGTTTTGAATTTAAATTTATTTAGATTCTTAATAGAGTTTTAATTTGATTTATTTAATATTTTTTTAAATCTAACTCAAATAAACAAATTTGAGTTAGTTCAATTTTTTAAATTCAAACAAAAAAATAAAATATAATTTTAATGATAAAGTATAATCTTTTAACTCTATTAACTTAAAAAATTACTTAGGATTTGTTTGTTTCACGTAAAATATTTTTCCGGAAAATGTTTTCCTCATTTTCAAGTTTGGTTAGAGAAAAACTGATTGGTCTACGTAAAACATTTTCATGTTCAATATAATTTCTTTTGTGCTTTCTGGAAAATGACTTACAGTCTGATTTTCGGTAAATCATTTCCGAACTTTTCACTTCAAAGAATAAATACTCAAATTAACTTTATTTTATGAATTTAATATGAATAAAATATTTTAATATCATTTTAATCAAAATATTAATTATTAAATATTTAAAATATATTTATTAATATTTCTAATAATATAATATTATATTTTTTTAATATTATAATAAAATAGTCAATTATATCATAATAATATAAGATATTAAAATTTTATTTTAATAATATATCATAAATTGTTAATAAAATTTATATTATTTATTAATTTCATAGAAATAATATTATTAAATTATTAATAATGAATAATATTAATATAATAATCTAATAATATTTTTAATAAAGATATTTAAAATATATTAAGTAATGCTTTTTAAAATATAATATAATACTATTACTTTAATAAATAATTAATATAATTTATAATATTTTTCTTTCAATAACTAATCTTATTATTTTTATTAATAAAATTATAGAAATAATATTTGAAAAATAAATAAATAAATAAATTTTATATTTTAAAAATAATAATATTAAATTTTTAAATATTTTAATTTTATACACCTTTATAAACTCTCCTCTAAAGATAAAATCCGAAAATAAGATCATTGCATTTGTAGAGTAACATATAAAGATTGCAATTTAACCTGAATTCGTGAGTTCTTACCCGATTTGATCTGATAGTGTTGGATTTTTTAAAAAAAATTCAGGTTTGGTTTGAGTCGGATTGGGTTTTTTAAGGGGTGAGGTCGGGTCGAGTCGGTGAAGGATGAAAAAACTCCGATCTGTGGATAATAATGTAATTTCCTTAAAAGTATTATTATTATTATTTAATTAAATCCTTATTTTATATCGTATAAGATCAGATTTATCCTCTAAAAATTCGAGTTGAATCAAAATCAGATTGAGAATATATATTTTTCGACTCGGCTGGATCACCGTTGCCATCCTTATTAACATATCACATGTCGCGGGACTAGAATCGAGACACGTGCGTAATTATCTGTCAAAGAGATTTTGTGTAGAGTGTTGACTTTGTCTAAGTCAATATAAACTTGATGAATGTCTTACCGAAAAATATTCTTGGAGATAATTTGTATAATCAGTGTGACCATCTTCTATAAAAAAAAAATGATTTTCCTAAAATATTTATGATATATAGATTTTGAATTGTTATATAATATGATTTAAATAATTAATTCAAACTTTATCATCTTTAGTACGTCAACCTATACAATTTAAATACAATAATAAATTTCAACTAATATTACGCTTCAAAATTCCAAAAAGATTCTTTTTCCTTTTCTGAAACTATAAATTGCAGGCAATTTCGTTTGGCCCTTGGCCTCACTTATCATCCCTCTGATACTGAGCTTCATTCTCATAAGGTGAAGAGCCTCTCTTTGCTTTCCTTTCGTTTCTTATTAGATTGAATGCTGTAAACGAAGAAAACAATGGTTAAATGTAGTTAAAATTTGGGTTTTGGACCGGTTCTTGCAATGAACTTTTCTGGGATTTTATTGCTTTGCCATTTCCGTCTTTCACGATCTTCTTTCTGCAAATTGTCTCTCTTCAAATATATATATACTTGGTAAAAAAGTGGAGAACAAACCCATTTATGTAATTCATCAAATAAAAATGCAATTCTATTCTATCTGGCCTGATTCTCGTCTGCATCGCTGTTTGCATTGTTGGTGTACAGTAGTACTTGCATCGCTGTTTGCATTGTTGGTGTACAGTAGTACTATCTGCTCTGTCATCTGCTCAGTAAATTCCAACACCTCTTTGTAGTAGCTATTGAAATTTAATTTTCTACGCTTGTTTTTGTTCCAGTTTCACTGTATATTTTATGGGGTTGTCCAACTGAACTAACTACCCTTTCATTTCAAACATTTCTTTCGTTTTTTTGTTCCTCTAAGAATCGTTGCTTTTATCGCCATGGAAGAAACACTTTCGTTACTTGAGATAATAGGGGGGGGGGGGGACAACAACAACGAGAAGGAGAATATTGAAGTGAAAATGGGTTATCAAAACTGGTACGAATAGCCGTCGCTTAGGTCACTGTTTAATATGTTTTGGTGCCTACACTTCACCTTTCGAGAAACCTAGTCGGTTTTTGTACACTTTCTTTTTGGTTCTAGTCTGAATCTGAATCGCCTCCCCCTTCTGACCTCACGGTTGTTTTTTCATCCCCTTTTCATTTTGTTGATATACAGTGTTCTTATATATATATATATTGATTCTTGTTTTTTATGCAGATTTTCTCAGTTTCTAAACACCCAACAAACGAAAATAAGAAAACACTTTGCTCCTGGGATTTTTCCCAATGGCGTTTTGAGCTCGACTCAGGCTCAACTTACCCGTTTCCAGCTCTCCGAGTATACTTTTTGACCTTTACGAACTCGGGGTTCTTTTTTTCGAGAAGAGAATCTGATAAGAGTGTTTCTCCTTTTTTCTCCGATGAATCGGCGATTCCTTTTGGTACTGACCTCGTTTTCCTTCGCCATTTTATTTTATTTCCTCGGCGCCCTTTTCTCAGGTGCGTTATTTACTTACATGCATAGCTACTATTTTTTGCTCCATTAATTTAATATATATCTGCTTCCTTTTTATCGAAGTGGACGATGACACCTCTTTCAGATGCATGGGGGGTTCTCCGTGTAATTTTCCTTTCAAATTCCTTGTTCTTTGTCTTGTCTCTCTTTATTATTGTTTTAGTATAAAATGGTTCTTTTAACAAATTCCCTTCATTTGCTATTTATTTCTGGGATTTTGTTTTAGGTCAGGGTAAAAGCATCAATGGATCATTTGGTTTGAAGCTATTGAGGGTAAGGCTCAATCAAAGGAACATCAACACCCTTTTCACCCCACATCGCAAGCTTCTGCGTAAGTAAAACAAAAAACTAGAAGTACCCAACTTTTGTTTTTTCTTCATCATAAAATGCCAGGAGAAAAAACTGGGTTTTTGTTGTTTTCGAATGTGGGGCTTCTTCAGGGATAATGAGGCTAAAATTTCGTGGAAACAAATACTAATACGTACGGTTCAAAAATGTCAGAGGCGCACACGTCCGTTGTATTTCCTTTTTTTTGTTGGCTTTTTTCCTTATGATTGAAGCAAAAGTGCACTGTTAAGAATGGTTCATCTTGGCATTGAATATCGATGATTCAGTCACTGTTGATATAGTATCTTTGAGATGGGCATAATATCCCATCGATTTTTTTCCTTTTCATAAATGAAAAGCTAATGGCTCTAGAGTTTAGCCCACCTAGTTCACAGTTTAGCACCATCTTTTTATGCTAGCCTATGGACTAAAAATGTATATTTTTGTTAATCAAATAGAATCTGTGGTATATTTAGAGAGCAAGGCGGTGTTTTTAGTGTCAACTCAAAGCTTTGTTTGAATTTATCATTTTCAGAATATAAAAAGAGATGGATAAAAAGGTTAAAGCCTTAAAAGCAATTTGCAGATAATGTCCCTACTTTATAGCAGGCCTTTTGGGGTTATGATTTGTCCGTTCCTTTTCCCTACAATTCCTGTGAGTCATCCTATTAAAAAGTGTATTTTGTCTGTAGAGTTTTCCCTTATTGGCTAAGTGCTTTCTGGTGAGGTTTTCAGTTTTCACATTACATTTGTTTTGTTCATTGATGATAGCTCTGAACTTTTACTATCAGAAATTTTATTTTTTTAAGTATAGGTTCGAAATTGATTCCTTTTTCTTGCTGCAGGTGCAGTAAGGGCGGAACCGAACCGGATACGGGGAGAGAAGTGTAGCAAAGCTGACATAAAGATAAACCAGGGATCTACTGCCCCTCTACCGAGTGGCATTCCTACCTACACGGTCGAAATACTCAACATTTGTGCCACGGGCTGCAATATCTCTGGGATTCACTTAACCTGCGGCTGGTTCAGCTCGGCTCGTCTCGTCAACCCGACTGTATTCAAGCGCCTGAGCTACAATGACTGCCTTGTTAACGACGGCAAGCCCTTGATCAGTGGTGGGGTTCTCGAGTTTCAATATGCTAATACCTTCTCTTACCCTCTTTCAGTCTCTAGTGTGGTGTGTTCTTAGTAATCATATCGTAAAAGCAAACACTTAATGCATATCATCCTATTGGTTTCATTTACTGGTTTGTGTCCTCTGTTGGGGGAGATTCGTTTGACTAATAAGACTTGATGTGATACCGTGAAGTTTTTGTCTTGTGAATGTTTCTTGATGTCGAAGATACGGTTGGAAAGCCGTCGTTGATCGGACTTGTGGGAAGATGGTGGAACATGAGTTTGATTTGAGGGATGTTGTAAATGTGTCATATGGGAATTGAGGAATATTTTAGTCTATTTGTAGCTTATATTGCGAGAAGTTGAAGATGTGATTGTGATTCAGAGGACGATTGATGGTAAAAAGTGGATGAAGGTTTCTTTATAATTAAATAAGTACACTGCAGAATAGGAAGGAAGGAGTATTTTTGGACAAGTGAAAGAAAACCAAACATTTTGAATAAATTGAATTTTTGGGTCAAAAGTTCGAGCGTGAGTCTACCACTCAATTTGTCTCTTACAATTCAATGACAATATTATGTACATAAACCAGAACTAAAAACGAAGGATTTTTCAAGTAGATATAATTATACCACGTTCATTCTATAATTGATACTTATTTTTTTAGTTATAAAATTATTGGCTCAGATAATGGAATCTATAATATATTGGATGAAACAAGAAGGAATTAGAAATGTTTAACATGTTGGATTGGATGAAACAAGAAGGGGATAGGACTGTTGGAATCTGAACATGTTAGATCGGACAAGAAAGGATTAAAAATGTTGGAATTCGAAACTTTTGACCTATTGGAGGACTAGAAATGTTAAAATTCGAATCTTTTAACCTGTGGCTATTAGAAGAAACGATTGCATGAACTAATTGGATACTCCTCATCGCTTTTCACTAAGATGGTAATATTGAAATAACTATGGGGTTTTAAAGTGTTAGTTCAAATGTTGCTATGGAGAGTATGACATTCCAAATAGATTGAAAACAGAATACTCATATTCGACACAAAAACCAACACACCCAAAGATACATATAGCATTTAAACAGATAATATTAGTAACTGAGAGCATTTATACAAAAGCTTTTCTCCTTACAATTCGGTGTGCATATTGTGTTTTACATGGAGTAGTCTATACAACTTTACAAATGATTCATGCTATTATTTAGAAACAATCATAAATGGAACTCAAGTAAATAAAAACGCACATCTTCATCACTCCTTCAAGAGCTTGAACACATAGGCTTTGCAACGCACACACACACCAGATCTCAAAGACAATGTTTTACGTTCTTAAACATTCTTACCAGAATTTCCAACTCTACACGTGTTTGGTTTCATAAAATGGAACAGGAGCATACAATCTTTCTGGGTGAATCATCAACCTTTTTTTCTGTTCAGGCAGAAAATCAAGCACATTTGGGTAAAGTGATACGTTAAGTTTTATGAAAATACAGATTATCGTCTCAATGTTACTTAGACAGCTACCTCTTATAAAAAGTTATAATTAATGTTGTAAGAAAAAAAAGGGTATATTTTTATTATCAAACGGTGTCAGTGAATCACAGGTAACTGACTTTAAAGACGAAGCAATCCTGAGGCAAATACCTTCTGGAGTCCAATGGATCTTATCAATGTCGGAGGAAATGTAGAAAGATGCAAGAAAATGGCTAGGACCATCTCTTAGTAAAGAATGAATGGAGAAGGAAAAGATGGCCTCTAGTAGGCTCATCGTAACTCGAGCAGCATGCTCATCAATGATCAACAATGAAGTTTAAACATCAGTTCTCACTTTCCACATTTTTCTCCCAAAATGCATGTAAAAAATGATTAATTTTTGAAATTGAGAAAATCCTTCACCTCCAAATTGGAATACATATATCATATCCATCAGAAAGACAACATCAATCATCAATTATACATCTGAACATTGGCTACCAATCAAGCAATTAGAAGTTTTGGCTCGTTGTATCACTCCTAATTAAGTTAAAATCAAATTAACAGGAATATCCTGATGTCAACTTTAGTAAGAAAACTAATCTTAATAACCAAAAAGGAAAAAATGTTTTTATACTTGAAAGAGAAAAGTTATACATGAAGATAAAGACAACAATACCTGCTTTAGTTTTTGCAAGTGAAGGCTGAACTACAACATGCATAATGGTAACCCCACCAGCAGCATCACCAAAGGGTACTTTACATTGACCAACAGTCTTGTCGTTCTCCAAAATTTTACCAGAGCTTATCAGTTTGACTTCATTCACTGCCTTTGGAACAATTGCCTTACCTAAGGACAGACACGGGATTTAGGAAGATTTAAAACAGAATGCTTCAAACTATTAACCTTTATGCTTTCTGGGTCTTACGGGAAAAAATTCTGAAGATTGTTAATAGATGTAGGCCCCAAGACAATGGAGCAAAAGGCAATGCACTCTTTGATGTTATTTCACAATACTTGAAATAAAATCGTGACTCATTCCTTTAGCAATCCATTTACTTAAAAAAAAAAACAAGAGTCAATAGCATCCATGGCATACTCCAATAATAATCCAACAGTTCATGATAAAAACACGTATCCACGGAAAAGCCAAGTTTGGCCTTCTCTCTTAATATACAGTCATAATGACATTCACAATTCCTATTAATCATTTCCACACTGTTCACAAGCAATACATGCATCATCCAAGCAGGTTACAGGTACAAGTACAACATATATATAAGAGGATCTCTACCCTTTCTTGGGCCATTGGTAGCCTCTGTTATCCAAACTCAATGGTGAAAGCTGGCATGAGTATTCTCAGACTCAAGTCTTTTTAAATCTAATTTCAATTACTCAGAATCATATTGCAATACCTAGATCCAATTTTGTCTGACAGGAATGCTTTAGTGAAAACAAATTCAGGTAACAAAGTTTGTAGCTACTTTACAAATCTAAAGACACCATTTTACCATTTTGCAGCAAAGTGCATATTCCCTTTGGTATCACCATAGAAATCTGCTATCACCTTGTGCTATAAATATTCCCTTTTTATTGCATTCTACTGCTAACCCTACAGCTTACTTCATTTGTTTTTACAATAATCAAGTGCACACTCCGAACTGATCACCTCTTCAATATTAATATATACCATCTAGCAAACCATTTCTTCTAAATTTAACAGAAATGTGCCTAGAAATCCACAAAACATGCAAACTTCAATTACTAAACACAAATCCAACAACAAAAACTTCATAAGCAACTAGAAAAAGAAATGAAACAAGGAGAATTGTTGATGGAAAACCTTTGGGCCAATCAGAGACAATTCTTTGCTTAAGCATATCCACCGTGGATGTGGCAGTGTACCGAAACGGCCCGATATCCGATCCGTCATAAAGCCTGAACTTTATATCCACCAACTCCTCCTCCGGCATCTCTGCTCGCTTCCCCTCCTTCGCGGTTGCCGCCTACCCACCAACCACCTGCTTCCACGCGTTGCAATTATTCTCACAAATCGGCTCACCAGTCAACACCCTCTCTAACTCATCGAATCAAATCCCGTAACATTCCGCCGCCTAATTTTCAACAATTAAAACCAAAATGAAAATTGAACTAAAATTATGATTAGAATAAGACCCAGAAATAAAAGGAGTAAAATTCCAACCTGAATTATTTGTGGTAGTTGATTTCTTGAAGCGCCTTGTTGAGATTTATTTTGTTTTTTCCCTCTTTTTTTTTAAAAGAATTTGTGAGCTTGGTGACCTGAAGAAGACAAATAAGTCTTGCCATCTACTGATGCCCCCAAAGCCAACCCACCATCAAAACGATGTCGTTTCTCTCGTGGTTTCGCTGATCAAGTTTTCTTTAAAATAGTAATACGTTGTCGTTTACCGAATTTAAGAAAAGGGCAAATTATTTTACCTCAACTTTGAGTAAGAAGTTTTTGATAAGTCATGTTTTTGTCAGTAATATTATCAATTTATTCCATTTTACTCATTCATTCATTAACAAATTTAAAAAACAAAGATTTATTGAAGGAAAAATATTTAAAAGGTGAGACTTTTTTAACGGAGAATTTATTTATTCATTTATTTTAATATAAAATGAGAAAATTAATAATTAAAATTAAATTATATTTTTAAAGGACTTTTTTAAATGATAACAAGTGGCTAACAATAAAATAAATCAGTGACCAAAAAAACACTAAATTAAAGTCTTCTTTTTTGTGTTTTGGCTAACTTAAAGGATACCAAGTGGCCTAAGGCAAAAGGCTTAAAGCGAGTTCATTTTTTTTATAAAGAAAAAGAAGAAATAGAAAGATGGGATTGTTTCAGTTTAAACATGTGAATTGAATAATTAATGTACTTTAATTTAAAATTAAAAAAATTTAAAAACAATATTAATGTTTTTTTAAATATTTTTAACTTTATCTGTAATATTTAAATTGTTTCTGGAAAAAGTGAATGTCCAATTGGAAAAAGAAATCAATTGCAGAAAGACAATAATTATAAAAGATAAACGTTTCATTAATAAAACAGTAGACATGAGACTAATTGCAGAATACATCTCAGATGAGAGAGAGAGAGAGAGAGAGAGAAATGGAGAGACAAGGATTTCATGATGTTGACTGGAAGTAAACTAATTGCATGGGTTAACTTCATCGCATATTTTCCCATGCAATATCGAAGTAAACACGTAAGCTTAATATATCTCCAAGTGGAAACTGCTTTTCATAGCACCCACAATATGCAATTGCTTTTTTTTTTAAACTTTGTTGAAAGCATCATCCCTTCCATTGTTGTTCGATACATCCGAGCAGGCGTTTAAGCCGAGCTTGGTGGCATCGACGATGATCGGGTGGTCGGATAATTGAAGTTTTGGATCAGATTCTTCCACCGTTTTCTTGGGGTGGTTTTTGTAAACTGCGTAGAGTATCATTTGAAGAACGCCAAAGATGAACCCCAGAATATTTGGAACCTGTTGATTCAAAATATTTCGAATTCGACCATCAATAAAAGTAAGAAGAACAAAAAGAAATAAGGTCTAAATAAATTGATTTCCCCAAATGAGATAACATACAGCAATGTTCATGTCTTTCAAGAAAAGACCATAGAAGAACCACATAACAGCTCCTAAGGTGAGGAACACTGATAAAGTAAACGGCATGTACTCCACGCTCTTCGTTTTAATCACTTTTCTCTGCAATAAAAGGGATGAAAATTAAGTTGCGTTCCGTATATTATCGTAAATCATATGATAACACGTAAAATGTTATAAGTGATCCTCACCACAATGGCTAGAGGTGCCGCGAACACTGCCAAAGAGAATGCCATGCAAATGTAACCCAAAACTAGGAGGCGGATGGAAGGGTTTGGTAGGAAGAAAGTTGAGAGAAACACAACTCCGAATCCCAAAACATTGAAGAGAAGCATAAGCTTCACTGTCACAATCTGCAATTCCCGTATTTCGACATGTTTGAATCATTTCATTGATATACACACACGTATATGTATATGTTGAATTAGTAGATATGGATGAAGAGATGTTACCCTTTCCTTCTTGGGGCCATAATAAAAGTAAGTAACGATGTAAAAAGTTTGAATGAAAACACAGAAAACGTTGATGGTGATGACGAACATAGCATTCTTCTTAAGAACTGCATAGTAAATCCAAAGCATGGCGCTGAAGAGCGAAACGACGTATGGAATCGACTGGAAACCTTCGGATGTTTTCTTCTTGTATATTTGGTAAAATGCAGGCCTTGAAATATTAATGGGTTAATAATCCTCCTTTAATAACACAAATTCTCACCAAAACAATAGTAAAAATAGAGAGTTTGAGAAGAAAACTCACAGTGGAGCCAAGGAGACCATGAATGAAACAGCGTTGCCTAAAATGCCGAAAATGAAAACCCAAGAGAGGTGAAGAGCCATGATGATGTATGTATGTATGTGTGTATATATATATGCTGTGTAATATCTCTGTCTCTCGATCTCTCTAAAAGAAAGAGTGAGTGTTGTTAGCAAAGTGGAACTCTAGCTCTTTACTCTTAATCCCACGATCTATGAAGCGTTATCGGGGTTTATATTTATAGCCATGGAAAAGGTGAATGGGGAGGAGGAAAGGCCAAGGAAGGTGTGGTCACGTTTCATTTTATATATAAACATATTTAAAATTCCATTTTTCCATTCGTATTTTCTAAAATATGATCATGACAAATCAATTATATTAAATTAAAGTTTAACTCTCAAGTCTTGTTCTAACTTAACCAAGGTTTGAAGTTGGAGATTTTGAGAAGGCAAGGTGTTGAATATTTGATAAGAAAGTTATATCATTCTTGTGATCTTATTCGACTCCCTAACATTAATCATTGTTCATATCATTAAACGAATAAATTAATCAGAGACATCAATGATTCACATAGATAATTGAATTCATAAGGTGTTGCAAATAACACAACAAACTTAGGTTCTAATATCACTTCAAGTTCTTACTAATTGCTGTATTGATTCACATAGAAGAATGCAGCAAGATGAAAGGTCATCCTCTAGTCATCTTGTTCTGCCACAAAGAAATTAGGGTTTATGGAGGCCATGAGGTTGATATAAAACAGAGAGAAAGAGCAAGAAAGATCTGCAAAATGAAGCACCTACTCCGATGTTTAACTAAGAGGCACGGATCAAGCGGCGATAGTGGTTAAAGGGATATTATTCCTCAAGCTCCTATGTTCAAACGCAACATTTGGAAGGATGTATGAACTTTCATTATTAAAAAGTTTAAAAGTTTTTCGAATACATACTACCTTATAATCATCACATACCACTAAAAGAAAGTAAGAGAAAATTCTCAAAGAAGGAAAGGGAAGTCAAGGTAAGAGTGAGTTGCTAGCGTTTTCTTTCTTGGGAAGAAGATGGACAGTACCAACGGAAAACATAAGCAAGACTGGAGGGGGCATGGCCCTCGAAAATTAAAGAAAAATATATTAATAGGCTTCTGATTTTTTAAAACAATTTATATGACTTCATTAATATGTTTATTTTTTTTTCAAATCTCATTAATATATATTTATGCACGAACCAACTTACCTTAATGGTTGTTGATATTCTTAGAGGTTATGAGTTCGATGATTAAACGTCATTGTCAAATGGTTGAGAGTATTTAGAACAAATACTCACTACAGCAAAATTGTTCTACAACGGCGTTTTTAGCGGCGTTTTAAGAGTAAACGCTATTAATTTTAAACATATAGCGGCGGTTACATAGAAAACGCCACAAAATGTAACTTTAGCAGCGTTTTTATAAAAACGCCGCAATAGGTTCATCGATAGTGGCGTTTTTTCAACAAACGCCGCAAAAGAGTAGTACTTTAGTGGCGTTTTTATACAAACACCGCTAAAGACTCGTAATTTAGTGGCATTTTTATACAAACGCCGCTATAGAATTGTACTTTAGTGGCGTTTTTATACAAACGTCGTTATACACATGTACTATAGTGGCATTTGTTTTTATACAAACGCCGCTAAATACTCATACTTTAGTGGCGTTTTTATACAAACTCCGCTAAAGACGCGTACTTTAGTGGCATTTTTATTCAAACACCGTTATACACTTGTATTATAGTGGCGTTTGTGTTTACAAACGTCGCTAAAGACTCGTAATTTAGTGGCATTTTTATACAAACGCCGCTAAAGACTGTACTTTATTGACATTTTTATACAAACGCCGCTAAAGACTCGTACTTTAGTGGCGTTTTTATTCAAACGCCGTTATACACTTGTATTATAGTGGCGTTTGTGTTTACAAACGCCGCAAGTTTACAAATTTTAAGTATCGCGCCTTCTAACCTTTTTTTCATTTTTTTTCCCTTTCAAGCATTTTTCAATCCCGCCGTTTACTGAAATCCAAAGCCAAAAATCTTCTTCCAAGTGTTCCATCATACACTGCCAAATGTACACCTTCAGCTGCTCGATTTTGCCAACAAACAAACCCCTCATATGCCAAACGTAGCATTACCCAATCTCTCACTGTCTAATCTCAACCCTAGACCGAAGAGAAGAAGACGATGGCGAACCACGCCGCCGTTGGATGGGGCCACCACCACTTACAGAACCGATGGCTTTTGGCTCTTCTCCTAATGCTTTCTGTTTCAACGGTTATTGCCTTCTTCATGAGAGCCGGCTTCGATTCGTGTGATCGGAACGTTTCTGCTGCTGTTGATGGTATAGACTCTACTCGGCATGTCATTCAAGGCGCCGAGAAACGAACTCCGCAGATCGCTTCTGCGAAGCCGAGTCCGCTCAATTTCATGAAGTCGAAGGTCGTTCTGCTGGTGTCGCACGAGCTCTCGCTTTCTGGTACACTTCTTGTTTTTATTTATGTTAATAGCTATCTTTAGTGAGTTCAGTCGCTTTGGAATTCATTTATGATATTTCAGTTGAATTTCAATGTAATGGAATTTGTTTTAGTTGCCTTCCTTTTACTGTCGAGTTACTTGGTGTATGATCGTTTCCATTGAAGTATCATTGCAAATGAACCGAATTTATGTTCAGTAGCTTTGAGGTAGCCATCTGCATCATCTATGGGATGTCCTTGCATGGTTGTAACTGATCCGTGGACACATATAAGTGAGTTTTATTATCGTATGGAGGAACTAGCAGAGGATGTGCATGGATTCTTTCGGTTAGTGTGCTACACCAGCCATGC